TTCAACTCGACGAATAGATTTGAAATGCGCAAAGTGCGCTAAAAATTACAAAGGGAATTAAAATGTTAGCGGATTCCCTTGTCATAATCGTTTAAAGAGAACTGTCAAAACACTATACTTTTCAAAACAGACTCCTGGGAACGTCGGATCCAAGGAAACACATCCATTATTTCGCAAAAGTTGTTCGCTCAATTTTGTCACGTTTTCTTCTCGTCTGCTTTTTTCGCGATTGCGCGATTTGAAGCGATGGGGCTTGTTTGTCTGTCTCTCTTTCTTTCTTTCCCCCCTCCTCTCTCACTCTCTCTTCTCGTTTGCGCGAGAAAGTTTTGTTGATGCCGCTCGTCACGACGTCGCGGAACAAATCGAATCGTTGCGATGGAAAACTCGGCGAAACTCAATTTCCATCGCGCGTTTCACCGCGACGGAAACGCGACGCCGCGTACGCTCGATACAGTGCGATTCCACCCGATGGCGAGCGAGAGGATTCCCTCCGATCGCCGCGAATTAAATTAATTCCTGCTGAATTCTGTGCGCGGTATCCATATCCGGCGAAACGAAAAACTGCGATTTTTCGACGTCGCAAACTTCGAGAAGAGCGCACATTAAACATCCCGCTAACTAAAGTTCCGTTAAAAGTATTTAATAGATAATTGAAGTAAAATTAATTAACTATAAATTGTGAATTGGGAAAACTTGTAATTTTGTTTGAAACTAGTCGAGTAAAGTGTTCTTGTAATGAAAAACTGATTTTTCGACTTTAAACCAGTTTCACATTTTTTTGGCACTATCAGTTTGTCATATAGAGTTTTAAGCAAAAAATTCTAAAACTTATAAAAAAATTAATCCTTCTTTTAGAGACTAATTAGTTCAATACAAGAATGCAATTTTGTCGCTTATTTTCACTTGGGATTTTATTCGTGTGGAATTATTCGTTTGGAATTCAAGAACTATTTCCTTTTGAGGTCGTACGAGAATTGGGTGTTGGTTTTGAATGCATTGTATATAAAGTAATATTAGAGAGCAACGAGCGGCACTTTTCGAGTATAGATGGTCTAATTATATTCCAGAATGGCCCGTCCGACGTCTTAATTATCGTGCGCTTTCGCGCTCTTCAAGGGGGGGCGAAAGGGGAGAAACCCTTGACGACATGAGTGATATCCGCGGCTAATTGCATTGCCGAGATGCATCTCTGGAAGGTCTCGGCATTCTAATTGAACTCATGTATTTCTGCGCGAATATTCTTTGTTCCAAAGATGAAATAAACTGGCACGCACAGGGAGGAAAAAATATACAGAAGAAATAAAAACAAATACGGAAGAGATTGCGCGAATCCAAAATAGAAATCCGATCGCGCCGATCTGTCTTCGTTTCCGCGACAGAGAAAGAAATTAAGAGAGAAAGAACGATCGATCGGCCACTATTCATTCTGAGAGTGGCTTTTGCACGAAAGCGGCATCCCTTTTCGCATTTTCCATCTCTCGCAGTGTCCCCTTTTCGTTTCATTGACACTTTGTCGTCTGCGCATAATTCTCTTTACTCTCATGCTTCGCCCTTGCAATTTAGTTAGCTCAACATTGATAAAATGTCAGCTTTACGTCAATAATTTTTTCCTAATTATCGATTTTTTAATTGAGTTAATTATCGTGGCGAAACGGTGTAATATGGGTACTTTCGTGTGAAGAAGTATTTTCGCGCGAATGTCAAGACCTAATTTTCGAAAAAAATAACCGGAAAAGAATAGTGACCCTGCTCTCGCCGATGGAGGGATAATGGATATCCCAGGAACATCTTGAATGGACAATGCTCCAGAAATTCACTCACGACGCGAGGACCGACGCGCAAACCGCAGGTGGCCAATTCATGTGCCAGCCGCAGAACGTTCGACCGGCAATGTTCTATTCGCGAACATGGTTGAGGGCCAGCGTACGGAATCCTCTGAGCTTCCGAATGATCGTCGGAAGACACCAACAATCCAGAAATTTAGATATTAACTTGTCAGAATTTTTCACATCTTATTTTTCCACGAGAAATTGATCCAAATAGAAATTAAATTTAAGCGTAAATTAGATTTCAATAAAAATGGAATAACACACAAATGAAATAAACTTAGGTTTAATTCAATTTTTATTTTAATTTAATTTTTACTCGTATCAATCCTTCTCCGCAAAAATAGGATCTGAAAATTTCGGAAAGTGAGAGTGTTCGGCGTGCCCTTATAGCGGTGAGTTCTGCTTCTTTGGGTACGCACACTTTCTAGCTCATAAAGACATAAAACAAAAACGTATCAACGTTGCAAGAAAGCTAAATAAGGGATGCAAAATTTTCCGCAAATATTTTCTTCCGTACGAGAAGCATCCAAGCATCTCACAGCCACCGACCAGGTTTTCTCTTTTATTAAACTTGCGCAGCTTCATCCTCTGAATAATACATTGCTCTCGCGTTTCCGTAAATTCGTCGGATCCATAAACACGCTCACACAGATGCGCGCGAATGTTGTGTCACACTTGTATTGTTAGGTTTTTTTTTGCAAAAAATGCAGGAAAACTATTTGCATTTGCGAAAAGGCAATAATTGCAATGTTGTCCCTATTTTACTCAAAACTATCAGAAATGTGAAAATATTGCAATGTCTTTAATATTATCTAAAATTTGAAGCTTTAATTTATAATTTATTATTATTTATAATCTAGTTTTCATGTAAATTTAATTTTATTGAACCAATTTTTCGTAAAAATAGAAACACATGATTGAAAATTTCAGCGAATGCTTATTTAAATTTCTACATCTGTCGATAATCGTACAAGCGTTAATTGAAAGTTGGAAACATCGCGAAAAGTTAACACCATGTTAATTAACGCGATCGATTATTATAACAATTTCGACGAGCGCTGTGGTTGTCTGACGAATAATTGTTCTCTCAACTATGTGATCACTGAAATTGTCACCAAAATAATCTTCTTTAAAATTGAAATGCACGAGTACGGCACTGGTTCGCGAAAACTTTCTTAAAATCATTATTGTTAATTGCGTTTGCGACGCCGCCGCGGCGACACGGAAGCCTGAGTTCTCTAATGGCACGCGTAATTATTTCATCGTGTGTCGGTTATTTCATTTTACGAGTCCTTTGATCGAGATCCCACTCTGCAATTAGAACCTTTCACGAACCGCTCTTTGATATCCTTCTCTGGCCTTCGATTTCTTCAGAAATTGCTTCAAATCTAGTTTGAATTTTTTTGCGAGTATCTATATAAAAATTTTACCTTGTCAACAGCTTGAAAAAGAAACAAATTTTTTTTTTCTTTAATTCCTTTCTTGTAATCTCTTTTATTACCGAATGCTCTAATTCAGAGACTCTCAAATTAAAGTTCGATGTTCTGCATTAAGAACTAGAGTCAAAGCGTGGATCAAAAGAATTGTAACTAGAATCTTTATAGTTTCAAATTATTTTTAAAAGAGTTATACGTTTCTTTCACAGTTTTACGATTCCTATTGCTTTAGATTAATTTAAATTAAGAAATCAAATTTTTTAAATTTACTTTAAACAATCTTCTTAATATTCGAGGAATATTTATAATTTCATGTACGATATATTAGAAAAAGAGCGATATCAATTACACGCCACATAAAATTATGAATGGTAAAATTTTATCTCGGAATTCCGTCTCGCGCGCACGCGGTTAAAGTGGTCTTTACGGATCGATAATTGATTTTTTTTTCAAATTGTCGTGTTAGATCCGGCGATGATAGTTTCGCGTGTCGCGATGAGGATGAATCCCGGTGAGCGATCACCCGATATATCTCTCTCGCCTGACGTATACAACGTGCACTCTCCCGGGGGCAATTACGTTGACTCGAGATGATCGGTTCTGCCCCTTTCCTCCCCCTTTTCGACCCCATAGTAATAGGCGTTCAAATTGAACCGCTGCATCACGAACAAAAAAAATCCCACTCGACATCCGAACCTGCCGTATTGATTTCCCGTCAAACCTGGGAATATAGCTGATCCATTGTGTACGCGATACTTGCGTAGCGCGTGCACCATAACGTGCACAATGAAATAATTTTATACCGCTATTAATACCGAAATATAGAGCTATTACGCAAATCTCGACATCCCGTTTCATACTCTTCCTTCATATAGAAATATACGTCCGTATCTTTCGATACTTTCAAACGTGTTCAACGGCGAGTAACAAATTTTTTATTTCTTTTTTTTTTAGAATATTTTCGTACGACTTGTATTCTATTCTGAGGCATATCGATTGTATCAAATGACAGTGTTGGATATTTTTTTCAGTTATTCTTGTTCCGGTTTCAAAGCGCAAAATGTCATTTGTACAACGTTTTGTCTCGTCATTACGATATTACCAAATACAATACCATCAAATAGCGAAAGATTCTGAAGTGCACACGCGTCCATCACATTGGGAATGCATGAGCGAATGTCAGATTGCGTGGTAATTAATGCATCAGCATGTATACTCGGGGATTTTCACAGAGATGGAACACTTCGAAAGAAAAAAATATTTTTAATCTAAAAATTGAAAAAAATAAATCTGAAAATCGATTTAAAATTGAAGATTAAACATTTAATTTCTATTAAACAAGATCTTGTGCGTAAAACTAATTAACTTGAGTTAATCATCTTTGATCAATGGAAATTCAAGTTAATTATAAAATGGAAAAACTCTAATGAAATTGTCATAAATACCGCTTTGAGTAATGCTTAAAAAATTGCGATGTGATCACATCATTAGAAGCAAAAAATGCTATCATATTAAAAAATTGATTTATTTATCGTGCTTGAAATTCTACGATTCTGCGATTCGTGCGCGAATCACAGTTTCAGTCGTAAATTACGCGAATCTCGTTTGGTATAAAATAAGATCGTAGGATCGATGTCCACGGAATACTGATAGAGAGAGGTACAGCGGCGGTACGGAATTCATCAAATCGGGCCGGGATGCAATCTTTTTGATCTCTCTTTTCTGTCTGTTGCAGTTGTGTGCGGCGTCGGCGCGGATGTGGCATACCATCGACACGTCATGGGGCTTTACGTTACGTGAGGATAATTCAACATGCGTATACCGTAATTCAATTCACGCATTATCAGCCTCCGATCCGCGAGATCTTGCGTTGACATCGCGCGAGAGGGAAAGAAAGAGAAAAAAAGATCGTACGAAATAGAAATAAATGAATCAAAAGAAATCGAGAAACGGGAGAAATCACATCCCGCGGAATTGAACTTCTCCTCCTCTCCTTTATCCAGTTTTTTCAAACTTTAATCAAACTTCAAATCCAGAATCAGGAAGGAAAGTTAATTTTATGGAAGAAATTGTTGTTTATTCCGGTACGCACGCGCATACATTTTAGCATTTTTATATCTTGTTTGTTTAATTTAAAAGTACATTACTAAGATATTTAATATTGAAAAATAGAAAAATAACTTGATATTTTTATATAAAATATTCTGAAAAAAATATGCTTGAAGAAAGGTCCAGTAATGAAGAACCCCCGACGAAAATCGTTTAAATTTATAATAGTGAGTTTGCTCCGGATCTTCCACAATTATTTATTCCTGCTATCTAAATAATAAGCTAGTCGTGTATGTAAGCAATTATGTAAACCGAGCGACGTAATACACACCTCGCTTTTAAGGGCTGAACATGAGATCCCTTATTCGATAATTTATTCGCGGTGCATTCTCTGTCTCCATTATTCGTCGGCTTTTACTTTGCATATTCTCAACGCTGCGTGCAGTACTTATTATTCCCGAACAAGATCCGCTTTGTCCAAGAACGAGTACTTAATTAAACGCAACGGCAACGCTGAAAATCTTGTCATTTTTATTTAGCAGGGCAACCCAGATGATTCGATCTGCCCCGGGAGATCTGATTTTAGAACTGATTAACTTATCGGTAGTCGGGAAACGGAAGCGCCATTCTGGAATGAGATTATATTTGAAGCAAGGTACTTATTCGATCACGGAAAAAACGAAATGATGAAAACATCGAATAGTCTTTGCTCGTACAAGCGTAATAATCGACCGGAAGAGTTGGGTGGATTTTATGCGTGTTGGAATATTTTCACAACTCGTATGCGTGAATTTTCAATTTGCAATAACATCTATGTTAATAATGATAAGTACATTTACATTAACCGCAAATTGTCCGATAAAATTTCACACGCCGGAACAGTGGTTCTTAATTAGATATTCTGTCTGTCTGTCTCTCTCTCTCTCTCTCTCTCTCTCTCTCTCTCTCTCTCTCTCTCTCTCTCTCTCTCTCTCTCTCTCTCTCTCTCTCTCTCTCCCTTTCTTGCGCGCGCGCGCGCGCGCGTGCATATCTGCAGCTGCATCTCTCCATGACGCTGGTGCATGTGCAATGAATCTGAGTGCCGCCGCATATCGCCGCAAAGAGAAATATCTTGGGTGTTGCTCGCGCCGCAGTTTCCCGCAGGGCATTACTTGCCCCAGGAAGAAATTGAGAGGAATACTTTGCATCTTTTATGCGGTCTTATGTGTTTTTCACGCCGGCGTCTCTTAATCATTAATACTCGGCTGCGTGGACCGTTGTGATTTTTTATTCCCCCGAGACGTGCCGCTGCCGCAGACCGAACGAACAGTCGCCATCGAGACCGTCGAATCACGTACGGTACGGGCGAATTGCATAAATATTTCACGCGCCACGGAATCTCTCGCGTAATAAAATTTTCTATATAATGGAATGATTATACATTCATGTTCTCATCTATCTACCCGAAACAAACAGCTGCGCATGGGACCCTTTATAGAGATCATAAATTCATTAGCGTTCTGTTATCTCATTTTCCGCGTTCGAAGCGTTTATCATTGAGCGAGCTTCCGAAAATAAATCTTCGATCAGTGGGTCGCCAAGCCCACATTCACGCTAAGGTCACATTCTATTTCAACGGAAGCTTTTTCTTGATTTGCGTATATCTCTAATTTACAGAGCGGCGTCGGCCGTGATTTTCTTCCTCGAAGTAACTTGGGCCATCACGTTATTCGTGCAACTCTGCGCTAGGTATGTATAATGCAACAAAGTGTAACCGCGACAGAATTTTTTTTGATGCGTGCAAAAATTTGTATCTTTCTTTATTTCTTTAGAATAGTATGTGAAAATTAATGTTCAACACATTCTCACGTGCAAACGCAACATAAATATCAGCGCGACTCTACAAATTGCCCGAAACTGTGCTATACGTCGAAACGATAAGTCGAGCGAACACGAGCAAGGGTTTAAAAGGGCCCCCAGGGAACTGCCGGTCGAATACGAACCGCTGGTGGAATAACGCGGAAAAGAAGCGGCGCAAAGCCAGCCGGCAATTACCAACCAGGTCGGAAGTTCGTCCCAGTTTTCCGCGTATTTTCCGCGCGCGGAACGGTGAGCGAATTACGCCAACTAGCAACTAGATAACATTTCACTGTGCAAAATGTGAAGCACGATGGTGGTCGTCTTTAAGTAAGCCAGATAAACGCGACGCGCAAGCTTTAAAACGATGCTGGTGCTTTTTTCGCATCTTTGAAGTTAATTGAGAGAGAAAATTTGCAAAATAAATCAACAAGACGAATAATTATTCCTCTCGTACGATTCTTCGACAATAAATTTATTAAGATATTTTTCATCAAAAGTTTTCTCGGCACTAGTGAAAATTTAGTAAAAATTTTTCTAAAATTGATTATCTCGCGGACAATCAGAGTTTTTGTAGTTGAAGCTCATATCGATCGAGTATTGCGCCACGACCGATAGGACGACGTCGTAGCTTGGCAGTTAGTGATAAAAGTGGAAGAAAGTAGTAAAAGAAGTTTTACAAAGTATCTACCAGGGTTTTTGTCAAGCAGCTGAGCGATCCATCTGGAATCGATGTCGCTCCACACGGAAGTTTATTTTCGTTGACGACGGTGCCATTAAAATTGCGAGTCCGAACGATCGATCACTCTGCGAGATCTGCGCGAAGATGATCGAGCGGAAAGGGATGCGCGATAATGCACGTTACCTCACATAAAAGCGCATTTTCAGCCAAGACATCTTCTTTTATATCTTTCGCGGTGGGGATAAAATTCCATTAAATCTTCCCCGAGGATAATTCGATGAAGAATATTCCTAAAAATTACTGAACAAAGAAACGAACAGTGGGGAACAGAACATTTTTTCATTCATTAATTTCGCCCATTTTCTTGATTAAATTCGAAAAAAAAAATGCAAAGAAGATTTCATCTTTGTTTTAAAATCTACTTGCCGTGAGATGGCATAGAGATAATTGTGCTTTTACATCATCGCAGTAATATTAATCTTTCGCAAATGAATTAGATTTTGCAAACTGAGTTTACAAATCTAAATTTAAAAGATTTTGTTTAAAGGATTCTTAATCATACCTTTGATATCCCAGTTCTCGAGCTCGTCCAAGATTTTGATTGGATTGGATTGGATTTTTACCAAAAGCGTATTTCCTTCGGTCAACGTCAGTTCTCATATATCCAAATTCTCAAAGACATCTCTCGTACTGGAAAAGCACAAATCTCTTTAATAATTTCATTTAAACGTTTCATCTGAATATTTTATCAATACGTTATCTGAAAATATGTCAGAAATTTATTAAAAATATCTATAAATTGTTTGGGAATAAATACTTTTTAATAAATAAAATAATATTTTTCAGCAGATATTAATAATTCATTAGAGTTTGATTCTTTTTAGGAATGAAGATTCCCTCTGCCTGCATTGCTGGTCCGGTGTCTTGGCGGTTACGCAAGGCTGGCGAAGAGCATTGTTTTACCTACCATTGTCCTGCATCCTGGCGTGGCGACCCCACAGACTTTGGCTATCCTACGTTGCGGGTAAGCAATGCAACCTCCTTTAAGCAATTCCTCGTTCTATTTTCGTGAGCCCTGGCAGTATATATGTTCATAGCCGGCTTGTTGGCGGTGCTGTCTTTGCTGCATATTGTATGGAGCGCGCTGGGACGACGAGATCCTTGCCAATCGAGTGCCAGCACCGACTCGGTCGGCGAAAGCCTCTTGAACTCCAAGCAGGAGAATTACGATCGCTTCGAGGAAGTCCTGGTGAGTATTTTTGAAATCGCTGTGTTAGCATCGACTTCTTCGGACACCCTTTCTTCTCCTTATTGAAATTGAAAATTGTTTGATAAAAAAATCCGCCAATATCTTTATCTATTTAATTCACTTATTGTTTCGAACAAATTTTTGTATATTTTTATAACTAATATTTTGAAAAATATAATTAAACTTCTTTCGTTGAAAACTTGAGATATTTTACATTTTAATCAATTTTTATTTACTCGTATATATCTATTTCAATAATATTAAAATAAGGACCACAAATGCTTATTTAATATTGGCATATTTGTCAAAATGAAATCGAATGACATTAATATATATTTTTCTTACTTATTTATATCATTGTCTGCTTTGCGAGGTGACGGAAATCTTCGACAGCGTGTCAGGACCGGGACGCTGCCCCGGGGATAGCGACGGTGAGATTTGACAGGAGCGAAGGCTCTCTTGGGCCAGCGACTCCGAAGAGGACAGTGATCTTGAACAGAAAACGTGTCAAATCGCCACGTTGTCCTAGGTCTTGGTAATGGATCAAAGAAACTTCCGCGGCTTGATTTCATTCTGTATCAACCATGGTCAATCAATGGTCCTGTTTATAACAAAAGTAAATGCAGTAAATGAGCAAGGTCAAGATAATATCTTCTAAGGTCGAATACTTTAAAAGACAAAACTGCAAGTTACATATATTGTGCGAGATTTAGTCATCCCACAGAAAAAGGAAGATCGAGCAATTCTCAATCTGTAAAAGAACAATTGCGATGACGTAAATGTAGGAGAGATTATGATCGTGTGCATGCGTCAAAGAGTAAATGTGTGTGAATATTTTTCTCAGCTAGACATACTTGTCAGTTATAGATAATTTTCTATGCATTATGTATTTCAGACGGATACAAATATATATGTATCGCGTAACACACGTACAAAACAACTATAAAACTTTAACAAAAAAATTATTTAATATGTCATTAATTTATTGTATACACGTAAATCATTAGTGCTAATAAATTATTTCTAAAATATTCTTCACTGTGAATCGTTAAGTGTTTACAATTCTAAATGTAAAAAATTCTTAGGTGCTTTGGTGCTATTTCAATTCTTGAACATCTCTCGTCCACGGTTGCTCACTAAAAACAGGTTTCAAAACTAGTTTTAATCGATCTCAGTCAAAAAGTTTCTGGAAAGTGTGCATATCTCGATTTCTAAATTGGCTACATTAAAATATAATACATGCACAGATTTGAATGAACATATCACATATTCGTAAAAAAGTTTTCATTACTTGTATTAAACTGTTATTTTTCGCGTTTTATGATGTCGCCTGCGGTTCCATTAGTATTCTAAAAAAAAAAAAGGTTGTAGGTCGCCTTTTACGATCAAAAGTGACAACTTACAAAGAAGAAAATTCCACAAGGACGTTGAGGTGCATAACTGGGTACTAACTAAAAAAATTTTTTTACACGAAAAAGTAGGAATATGGAAATTGGAAATGTGTTGAAAAGTGATTATGTAGAAAAATAGCCTGCAAATGTAACTTTTCTAATAGTATATTTTTTAAAATAATAGTTTCTCGGAAACTTCTTTGAGTCCCGCTCGTATATGTAATCGGCTATGGCACATACAAAGCCACATAAAGTCTTAATAACCCTAATAATTATTCAGTATACCATTAAATTACTGTGTGTACACATATTTGTTACAATATTAATAAAAATTTCCCAAAAATCCTCACTGCAAACTTATTTGTATACAGAAGCTGCAAAGATAAAGATTTCATTCTTAATATCACAGATTAGTAATCAGACTTTCTATTAACGCAATAAAATATGACGATTATTGATTCGTCTTGTTGAATATTACTGTTATAAATTATAATATTTATAATATTATAATTACACTGTATATATTATAATTTGTAATGATAATATTCTATTATAATCGTAATATGCAAAGAGTTATATAGAAACTTACACTTTACATAATAAAGAAATATATTATAACCAATTTTGAATTTAAAATGTTCCTGTCAAAGGATCCTTAGGCGCTTCTTTAGTGTCCCAGTTTTTGATTTCATCCAAAATCCTTATTAGTAGTGGGTTTCCTCCTAAACGTTCGATCTCAGCTCTTGCCTTCATGTCCAATTCCTCAAGGACACCTCTGGTGTACTTAAAGGAGCCAAATTTCTCTAATAACTTAATACAATGACGTTTAACTTCAATGTCCTTTGTCCGTTGTCTTAAAATACCTTCATTGAAAATTAAGGAAACTTATATAAACTATATATATATATAGGTTTGGGTAAACAATATTTAGTAAATCAATTATTATTAACTAATAAATATTTTTCCTAGAAAGGATACTTATTATTTGCCTGTCATTGGGATTGGTTGCGAGTGCATGAATAATTGGAAAGCTGAATTTTCCCTCAGTCAAATCCTCACAATAACTTTTATTCTCGGTATACTGTGTAAAAAATTTAGTCATTTTAATTTAGTTATTTTAAGTTTAAATAAATTAAATATGTCAAATATTAATACTTACTTCAGAGAGGCACAAATTGCAGTAATCATCGCGTATTTGAAAGTACAATCCTAAGATAGCTACTAACGATGAAAAATCTTCTTCACAAGTTGAGAATAGTTTCATTAATCTTACTGCCAAGTTGAAGAGTCCGCCAGTCTCTGCATAATTATTTGTTATAATTTTTTCAGATGTAAAACTTTTTTAAATGTAAGAAAAGATTGTATAAACATTTACTCCTTATTGTCATAGTCCTATAATCCGCTTCACTTGGACAGATGAAATTATCTCTCCAAAAAATATCCATACCTTGACCTCTATGAAGTTCCAGCAATTGTTCCATATATACTTTTGTTGCCTGATAAAATAAAAACAGTAATTAGCTATAAATTTACATTTAATTATATTTATGTAACCTTGTGTACTTACAGCAGGATGTTGAAGGTTAACCACTCTTTCTAGAGCAATGAATAATACATAATTTGCAGCGCTTAAAGTGCTAGCAATCCCATAAACAGAATGAGCAACAGGAATACCTCTTCGCAAAATGGAATTATCCTGAATATCATCAATCCTGAGAAAAAATCACGAGATATTAATAATGTCACAAAGATATATACAAATAAAATTAATTAATTCAGTTTTGTAAATTATGAAAGTAGAAATAAAAATTATTTCCAACAGACATTATTATAAAAAATAGAATTGTGATAATTAGAATATGTAATTAGAACGAAATAAAATTTGCTGTATAGTAAATGCAAACTTACAGAATACTCGAGTTATGAAGCATATTTACAATTTCATCAATGGCCTGGAGTCTGTCATTAGATATTTTTAGCCAGTAGTTGAAAGCATGAGCTAATTTCGCTCTTATTTGCTTTCCGGGAACTTGAAGAATATATCTCATCGGTTCCAGCAGTTTCTACGAGAAAAGACATGACTTTTATGCGATTGTCGCGAAAAATAATATTTCACAGTATATTTAATTCTCTAAGACACATCGAAAAGGACTAACCTCATCCTCTTTTTCCTGGCCGCTCAGTGAATAGTAAAAATGATCGGTTTTATCTCCATCCATCATGTTTCCGACTTGTAGTGATGATATTGTATAATGTAAGTCGAAATTCTTAAACAATTACTTCGATTAATCAGAAGTGCGAAATGATAAATTCTAGCCGGATCGTGGCAACGATTACAACTGACAGCAGACATAATTCAAAGTTAAATACGAACACACACTTTCACAAGCACTGAACTATATATGCACTAGATGCATCTTCTCATATAAGTTCCCAACCAAGCTCACATGGAATGACGTAGAAGGCAGCAAGTTCGCTCTGTTTCTTTCCTTCCTAAACATCCAATCACGTCATTGTTCGAGGCCGAGGTGCGCCGAACGGTGCGTATTTTCGGGCAGTTTCGCGAAGCGCGTCATCGAGCGATGGTGGTACGGTTTGTCGCTTGTTAACGTCACTCGACTCGTCGTTCCTCACTCCGAAATATGAACGCCGGCGAGAGAAGTCGCACTCTCGTGCCGTCGTCGTCGTCGTGTCGTCGTCGCTGCGTCAGCGCAAAGTGCACGATCGTGTGAGGAAGAAGAAGAAGAGGACAAAGAGGAGCCGCGACAACATTGCGCGGAGTGCGAAAGGTGCCGCGGAAAGGTCAGCATCTATCGAGCGTCTCGAGAGGCGCGACGTCGCCTTCGAGGGCGGCCGATGACATGTTCGATCTAATCTTGACGAGAGCGGGCTAAAGTACACTAATACGTGTTAGACACATACACGTTGGTGTCCGTCTTTCTATCGACTTGCTTGCTCGAGAGCACGCCCTTGAACGGCGATGCCGGTCTCCTCCGCGATCCTCCCCTCTCGAATCCTTTCACGCTCCCCGCGTCGCATTGTGCATTGTGTCCGGCGTTTATCTATTATCATTTAACTATCCACTATCGCGTTCTACACTGTGCTAACACTTCGTGATCTTGGGCTTTATCTCTTTAATAGAAAGATTGCGTGTAAATATAAACATCCACCGTCCTTTATCTCCGTACTCCACATTTTACATGTAACCAAACATTTCGTTGATGAACAATTCTTTACGCGATAACAATCGTGAAAGAAAGTCTTACGTTTTTTAAATCGTTTCAACAAAGGGAAGTTGATTTCTGGAGCGGTTTTCACAGCCTCATCTTATATTCAAAATCATTTTCAGCTTGGTTTTAAAATACTAAAATACTACTTTTTTTTTATTATGATTTTTAATTTAAAACTATACTTTTGATCTTAAATGTATGATTGGAGGATGAAAACCACTCCGTCAATTGCCTTGTATCAATTTGCGCCTTTACCGGAAAACAATCAAAAACATCTGCGTGGATGTATCATCTGAAAAGTGCGTGTTACGCAGTTTTTCTCTTGCTCGTCACACTTGTCATTGTTTCGCAACGGCGAAGTGTCTGTGTCTTTCTGCATTGCAACAGCGGACACGATTACTGGCTTATGTGAGCAATGTATTTTCTTGCGACTACTGGCATATTAAACTATTTAAATGAATTGTAAGAAGTATTGGCTAATACACGAATGAAATACCGATGTATTCCTGGACCGCGAACACGAATCATTTGCCAAATGACGTCATGCATTTATATATCGTCTGAAAACATACTTGGACAGTCAAGATTTTTTTAAGTCGCAAAAAATGTGTCCGGCATATTGAATAATTAATGACTATATAATAATGATTATATTTAATAAAAATTTTATAATATTTTATTCTCTATTTATCGTTTTTGTTGCTTTAAAATTGAGCGCAAAAACGTCATGCAACTCTCGTGCGATTTGCGTAGCATTAATGAATGTTTTAGTGTTGAGACTCTTGAAAATGAGAGGCTCTCAAGATCACGTAGTTCTAAAGGCCACTAAACTCACTTGTGAAATGTCACAACTACTAATGCGACCTCGCATTCTTCCACGAACACATGCTGTCGTGCCACTTTGCGTTCCTTCTCTTCATTTCGCCTTCCGCCTTCTCGGCTGTTCAACTCTGCCTGTTATCAATTCATACTACTCCATAATATCGTCAAAAGCGATCTGCCTTCTAATAGGATTTCGTATCGAGAAAGATTAAACTTTTAACCCAGCTTCGTTGCATAAGTTTGCTATTTAAAAAAAAAAAAAAATATTTATCGTCGCGCTAATCAACTTAATTAATGATAGCATAGAGAACTCGCGAGCTTCATTGATAGATCGTATTGATTGAACAATTAATCTGTCTTAAAATAAAACTTTTAAATAAAAAAAACAAACATTTCTGTCACTTCTGTGAATCTGTTTCTCTATCAAGCTGCATTGAATCAAGAGTGCAAGGTAGATTGCACCGAAGGGTTCAATGCTTTCACTACATCGCTGTATTAACGAGAGTTTCATAGTCGATTGCTTCGCACTCTTGTGAAGCGAAGAATGTCGGTCACATTGGTATTTTTGGAACGATCAGCATTTTACGACCCATCAAAAAAAGCTCGTGTTTGCGAATATGAACTTTTAAATACCTCATTATCTGCGATTGCGGTATAACGATAAAGCTTCTTTGTGCTATCTAATCTTACATTGACAAAAGTTTATCAAACGTAAAGCCAACAATCGTCAATAACAATAATTATTATAATTACAGTAATTAATGTTGATCCTTTTATCTTTTCCAATACAACCTGTTAAATATTCAAACAATATTTTATATTAATATCAATGTTGATAAGAAAAATATTAAATGTTAAAGAAATATTTAAAAATATTATAATCAATATTATAATACTCATAGTAAATATATAATACTTGATATTGTAAATGCATACATTGAGTTAATTGAATTGACATTCTTAGCGCTTTCTTGTCCTAATTGGAAATGAATTTTCAGATATCTGGATCGCAGCGATGTTAAAGAAAAGCAATTGTGCAATGTTGGTCCATCAGGTGTCGGCCGTTTTACCGGACGACAGGCCAATAACTGCCATCAGTGTTGTTGAAGACATAGATAAGTGTCCGCCGAATTTCACAGTGGTACGAACTCAGCGCTAACACGCTTAATTTATCCACTGGCATTTAATCTCTCTCTTTCTCTCGTCGCAGTGGCTAAAAATAATCAGTTACGTTTCATTAAGGTTTCGAGAACTTACGACCAAGACACCGACGCGGATTTATGGAGAGAGAGCGGATTATTTATCAAGAAGAAGGGCAGATATATCTGCTTCTCGAAGACTGAGGGCCAACCCGATTGCGTGGTTGAGGATATCATGGTGATTAATGAACGGGATACTCCGCCAGAAGGATACAACATGATTTCCTATACCGTGGACTCAAGTGAGTCTTTTTCTTCGTTAATTAACCTAACTATACTGCTAAATAAATCTACAAATGTTTACAAATAAACTGCGATGAACGTTACAGGGCAGAAGGCATGGCGGAAGAAACAAGTGTGCTATAAAATTAGAAATAAGGATTTGTGCACGAAGGCAGTTACGGATATTATAATATGCAGTAGGATAATTCACAAGGATTCCAAAATAGCACCTATCGGATTTTCGGCCGCTGGGTACGTCTTCCAATATCGCGGATATAATTTAACTCCTAATGCCAATTAATATTTACTATTAATAATTTGATAAGTAATAAAAATGCAGTAATAAATCATTTATAAATACAATATTTTTCAGATGTGATGTAGTAAATAACTATGGAATTTATTGACTGTCAGAGATGTGCAGAATGCAAAAGACATCTTATATTATCTTCTTCTTTTTTCAGTATCATAAATGGTGTTCGTGTGTGCTGTAAGACAGTAGATATTACAAATATGAATTCGGATTCACAGTCATACGTTAATATAGAGTGAGTTTTTTTTTTCAAGTTAAATAAACACCCTGATTATATTATATGTGTTATAAATATTTAAAAAATATTTTTAGCTTACTACAAAGCACCTCCCCGAATCCTTCGAATGGAGCCCCTCATAGACCAGCCCCGGAAAGACCTCCAAAACCAAAGTTCTCACCAAAACCAGTGAATGGGATTTATCCGCACATCGGTAACACAACTAACAAAAGTGGCGATGAATTCGATCGAGATTACGAAGTTCTGAATCCTAGCGCGAGAATCAAGCCCACGAGGCCGGCGCCCCAACCGCCCACGGACGTGTCGCCGATCGCCGGATCAACGTCCGTTTACGGCACGCTTCCCGGATCGTCCGATCTCGACGGAGTTCCATTTACGCTTAATCCTCATCTTATTCTCCATTCTAACTCTCCCAATGTAAGTATAACAAGGTGAAACAAAAAATAACCGATTAATACATTTACTCCTACAATCAATACCTTCTATTTCAACAGAAGAAACTTCCTGTCATCAGAGTGTGGACACAGAAGGACTTGGACAAAGAGGTAACGTTTACATTTCTTTTCTTTTTTTTGCGAGTATGTTTTGTGATGTATAATCAACGCAACGACCTGTTACAGTTTTTTTATGACTTTCGCGCGGAGAGGGAGACTTGAAAGATGACAGACATGCCAAAATTAGCTCCTTGTGAATTATTCGAGCGATCCTTTCCTGCCGTATTTGTACACGTTCATACCTGCTGTTACATTAGCCAACAAGCGTAAATGGAGTGCCTGAACGAGTGATTTATACTAACTCGCGACAGAGAGAATGAAACCCGTACGACGCTTAAAATAGGGATTGTATACTATTTAAGAAGAAATAAGATAAAAATTCACTCGACACACGTTTCTTCTTTCACGCCCCACGTTTAGATTTTTATACCGGTGATAGCGTTGTCATATTTTTATAGAACCACGTTACTTTTTGATAAGTAGTAGAGATTATATATGTAAAATATATGTATACACACAATTGTATCATAATTTAAGATTTTTTGCGCACTTCAATGTCGCATGTCTACGCTTTTAAACTATTGTTATGATGCGAACAAATTACTATATTGAGAGTACTATAGCGTTCTCACGCTACATATTTAGTGTTAGCCACTTGACTGGACTCCGAATGGTGTTAATCACACCACCCTTGCCATCCAAATATTTATTTAAATGCGTATTGAAAGTGGTGAAAGTGTGCGTCCTAAAGTTGTTTAATTTACTGTTCTTTTTTTTTTAAACTCGAATGTTTCTCATGTATATATCAAAATGCAATTTTTCTTTATCTACAATAAAATATACTATTTTTTTGTTTATATACTTACATTCACATATTGTTGTAATTTTGTCTACAAGTATTTATAGTTGTATATACACATTAAACAAAAACATAATCCTTTAACGTTGATGAAATGCGACATTAGATTTTAATCTTCCACTCGATTTATCTCGCTGTTCTTATTGTCGATCAGATTTGTACATTATATGAGATTCCTTTCAATCGCATATGTGCACGCGAATGTAACTAAAGAAAGAAACCTGTATATTAAATAATAATTTAATAAAAAACAACATGGATGCAGAGTTATCAAATACATCGTAATATTCATTAAATGAGACAATAAAAAATAATAATTACCTTTTCGACAACGTTTTGTAATTTAAAATTTTATGCCAAAATTTAAAACAAGTGTCACATTCCTCACAAATACCGTACAAAGACTTATAAATAATTTCACAGCAGAAAAATAGTTAAAATTCGCATATTTTAAATATCTTACTGAAAAACAAATAAATTAATCACTGGAAGTGCGATTTTTTCAAGATTTGGGGTCTACGTGTACGTATATTTTATAGAGATTGTTTTAAAAATAATGTAATTTATATGATACTACAGATTAAAAGCGCGAGGAAATGAGGTCGCCCTTACTTACTTGTAATTTTAGAAAAGATTTCCTACTTTTCGACCGATACTGTATAAAGTTCCATTTGCACTTTAGAGATGAAAATCACGCGCTATGCACGAAAAATGTTTATTTAATGAACTGTTAGCGAATCGATGGATCAAAACCTGCTGAACTTTGCCTCGGCGAATTATCAGCCGATACGGCGTGACGAAAGATATTCTTGCCCGGCAAGATACTGGCTAATCGTCAGACAAAAGGCCCGGTCCAGTGCCTAACATGTGTCGTTCCCGCGTGACTGCCCGGAACCGTGCCGTGCCTCTCTAATACTGCCGTGGCTTTGATCTTGCTCTTGTATTTTACATCCTTCGGTTTCAGCATGCTCTTGTGATTGCTCAGCAGCCTCGACGGCGTGAGAATCGATTTATTGCTAAGGCCAGTCGCCTCCAGGAAGTGATCGTAGCCGCTGCTTCCGGTTTCACCGTTACCATTGCCATTGCTATTGCCAACACCGTTAGCAGGAACATTGTTGTTGTCTTTGGCGATGCTATTCTCATTCTGGCCGGCGTTGCTGAGCCCGGCGTGGCCCAGTCTTTCGGAGCCATCGCCCTCGAGCCGATCGGGATCGTCCGACAGATCGCACTCGTCCAGATTGAACTCTTCGAAGTTCTGCCGAATGTCGAAATCCTGGATAGAGGAAAAATTGTTTGCGATATTATACGTTTTAAAATTAAAGAAATTTTGGGAAATATCTCGCGCATTTTTCTCGTGAGAGATCTTACTTGTTCGAGCTCGGCGTGGCGCTCCTTCGAGCGATTCCGGTCCTTCGTCTGCTCCTCAGGATCGCCGATCTTAAACTCCTCAAAATGCCGGACGATGTTCGTCACTCTAGCCGCGTTCTTCGCCTGGTCCGGCTCCTTCTGTCTCGACTGGAAGGACGAACGCACGTGATTGAACCTGTTCTTCCAAAATCCACCCTCTTTCGTTTCTCTCGTCGACCCTCTCGTTAAATTCCTGACCGAATTCTTCGTCTCCTCTAAATTCAAGCTCCTCACCGCCCTCGACGGCGAAGAGGATACCAGTCCTAGAATGCTTCTTTTCGCAGGATCTGTGCTTCCCGAGTCCTGCTGTTTCTTTTCATCGATTAAGAACGACGGACTGGGTATTTTCTTTAGGATCAACGTGTTGTTGCGAAATTGCGGCTTTGGCGGTAGCGCCGGCGGCGTCCTGGGCGGCGTTGGCGACGCCATCGTCGGCGTCACTTCCGGCAACGATTCTATGTCCTCGTAATCCAGGTTCCTGGCAATAGTCAGTCCCCTCGCAGACATCTGCAAGCAGGTCTTCTCCTCGATTCTTTCCATTTTTAACGGAGGATTGCTTGTCTGAGATTTCACAGGGGACTTGTTCGTTTCCTCGATGTCAATTTTAGGTTCGATAATAATCAGAGGAATCGCCTTGGAGCCCTTGGAGTCGTCTTCCGGCTCCTTCTGGACGATTCTCATGCCAAACTCGTCCTCGGACGCACTGGTTTCGTTCTCCACGGGCTCCTCCTCCCTCGGTGAGTCCTTGTCTACTGCGGACTCTTCTGAGTTTCCCCTCTCCATCTCGGAACCCACTGACTCGATGTCGGACAACCTTGCAGCCTGGAAACGCACGATTCTGCCGCGATGTTTAAAATGGCGCGGTACCGATAGCACCGGGCTCTCTTCCTCCTCCATATCCTGCAGTAGGATCTGATTCACGCATTCCAACACGGAGTTATGATTGCTGTTGGGTCGGTAGCTGTGCCGGAATGACACGTCCTCATTCAGTCGGTCCTCATCGGGATCACTGTACCAGTTGCCGCTGGTGTCCTCCACTGTCAGCTCCGGTGTCGTAATTTTCGTTTCACTGCAAAGAAAAAAAAGAATCGTTGAAACGACGAGAAAACAAAAGAATGATAAGAAAATAAGAGGAAAAATAAAAAGTATAATACGAATGATGAATAATTTAACTAAAGTTCTGACGGTGAAAAAAGATTGTTGCAACGTACATATTGTTATTATTGCTATAATCATCCTCCGTTCTTGACAGCTGCTGCAGGTTTTTCTCGTTCGTCTCGTTGCGAGCGTTCACGTAAATCGGTTCCTCTCTATTCTTTTGATTATTTGTCCTCGTGTCTTGCTCTTCATCTTCCGAGACGAAGTTACAATCCATTCCGTCATCCTTGCTGTCCGTCCTCACAATGCTCGGAACCTCGATTATCTTACAGTCTTTCGACAACAATTTTTGATCCTTCGCCCTTTGAAAAGACGTCCTTCTTTTTGCCGTCGTTGTCACTCCACCCTTCTTCATCGCATCCTCCTTGTCCTCGTTCGAAATCATCGTCGTCTCGTTCTCGCTGTCGGTCACCGTGGTCGGCGTGCACCTGCTCGAGCATTTGTTCAAAGTCGAACCCGGCGACACGTCCGTGCTCTCGCCCTCGCAGAAGCCCTCCGTGCTGAGCAACGACGGACTGCCTTCCGTCGTCGTCGTGATGATGGATGCGTCCGTATTCTCGCTGCTGGTTAGACTCGCCTTCGAGATATCGCTACCGGCGAAGCTGTGCGTCTTTTTCACGCTGTTACGATTCAACACGTCGTCTACTAGAATACCGGATGACGCCGGATTCAGCCGCGTGATTATTTCGCACTTTAAACTCGCGATATCCTTGCTGATACCGCTTTCGCGTAGTGTTTTTCTCTGAAAGGAAGAATTGAATGAAGGGAATTTTAAGAAACAAATAAATAAGGAGAGTGAATCGAGAAAATTTCACTCGCAAATATTTTACATTAGTTTCGTAGCTTCGCTTCTTTTTAACAAATTTATAATAGAATTTGATATAAAATTCTATTTATAATTTTGCGTATTGCGTGCTATTACAGAAAATTAATATTAGATTAATTAATTAATTTTACGTAATATTCTCAAATTACTTGTAAACTGCCCAAGTTTTGCAGGTTCTTGTCGACGTTGGCGTTAACCTCGACATCGACAGGCTGAGTTGTACGATCGCGTTTGCACTTGATATAGTTCTTCGTGTATCGTCTAAGCATAGCGATCTCCAGTTGCTGATTCCGGATGACGTTGTCCTTCTCGCAGAGCATTTGTCTAATCGATTTTTGCTCCTTCCTAAGTCCTGCCTCCACGTGCAACAGCGCTCGTAATACACGCGACAGATGCTGATTCTGCAGGATTAGCTCGGACTCGTGGCCGGCAGCACGGTAATCCAACTCCTTCACCAGCTCTCGACATCTCTTCGTGGCGGATTTCAGGGCATCCTGAGTGCGCGCCAGTTCCTGCTTGAGCGTCCGGACTTCGATTTCCATCTTGAGCATCAGAAAATTTTAACGGAATTAAATATTTTGCGAGTACGCGTAAAGAAAAAAATGGGTATAAAATAAAATTTTAATTTTATGCCAGCTTGAGATTAATGAAACCGAGATGTATCTCACGTACTAGTTTCTAAAAACCAAAAAAAGAGGGACGATAAAATTAATATATCGAGAGATTGAATTTATTAAATGAATAAAAAACAAATTTCTTTAAAAATTTTTAGTAACCTCGCTCTTCTTCTTTTTCTCTGTCTTTTTGCTTTTCTACGTCGCTTTTGGGATAAACGACTCGTGTTACACAATGCAGATCGCGCGGACGAGATATTTATCATGCATGCGAGCGCCGCATGCACACAAGCCGCAGGATAAATGCCGTCAACGTCTGTGCGAAATCGTGGAACAATACTGGCTGCAACCTTGCTTCTAGCGCGCGAAAGATAAAAAACGGATTCAAGAAAGAAAGACGTCCGCGTTCGTTCGTTCGTTCCAGATGCAGGGGGACAAGACCGGATCGGCTCACAGGACCGGAAGGACCTGACGGAGAACCGGTAAGTCACGGTTCGCGCGACGGAACGATGGCAGCAGTAAGAAAGACGCCATCCATTGTTAGGTAAACACTTTTCAACTTAACGCGTTGACTGCTCAAGGGTGAGCGGGACATTTACATTCCAGGTCATATCTGATGATGCATAGCGAGTCCCATTATTCTTGCAGCGTCAGTTAATGAGGTTATTCGACGAATTTCGCAACGATCCGAAATGACGTTTCAATAAAAGATTTACAGGTGAATTCGAATTTCAAAGTATTAGTGCAAAGAATTGAGAATCGAAAAGTTACATTCGAAAATCCTATTTCAAAATTTTAGACTTACTTGCAGTTTCATTGATCGTTCTCGATGATTTATGATTTAAGTTTCTACGCGCGGCAAATTATTTTTCCGTAAAAAAAGACTGCGAAGCGACGCTGTGCAGCGATGTTACTTGACAAAAATTCATATCTAATTCACAAAGTTAAGTAAATTAAAACTTAAAAATATTATTTAAAAAAGAGTTTAGAGTCCAAAATTTATATTTAAAATTTATATTTAAATTATTTCAACTTTTTTTTTGTTGTAATTTTCAACGTACGAGAAAAATTCTCCGGGGATTTACGACAGCAGATTTTCGTTTCCGCGTGAGAGAACTTGTTTTCCGAAAAAGAAAATTGCAAAACCCTTGAGCTTACTATTAATCGATTTAATGCCAAGTGATCTAACGGCGATGCGGCTAAAAGGCAATCACATGTGGATTATTCGCGATCTAGTACACTATATTGCGCGCTCCTTTCCCGTTTTTATGGGATTACAAATACGATATATCGACTGGAACATAACGAGGCATCCTTTCTCCAGCAGAGATAACTCGCCAACGTTCAGCGTCTTTGAATCGATAAACCGCATCTGCAGCTAATTAAATCGCAAGATACTAATCGCGTTATCTCGAGGAATGAAACCGTATCTCCGCAATTAATAAATGAGCACACAATTTTTAGACGATCAAAGTCGTCTTGTGGGATGTTCGATGCTCGATCTAAAAACTTTTTTTATTGATGTAAAATTATTGATTTTGGTACATAGATCTTTATGATTATTCGAGATTAATCATGGGACATGACATAACAATCTTTCTATCTCGCATTCTTCGTGCAACGCATAGAAGCGAAACAATCACGTGGGTCTGAAATACCTTTGTTCGCCGAAGGGGAACGCTAACGGAAGGATTTGCGCGACGGATCCTTTCGTGAAATTCTTGAGGAGCTCGCACGGACCGGCCGATTACAAGGTTACCGAATCATCAGACGGGTGTTTCGCAGGTCGCTAGCGTTGGCCATAAATTATACGCCCCTTCCAGACAGACGCTCGGTGCTACAAGAATCCCCCGTGAAACAGTTTTAAAAATATGCGTAAACTATGGTAGAAATGATAAAAAAAAAACAAATAGTGACTCGAGAAAAAAATGATTATTTTTATATTAAAATTCTGCGGTTTTCAATTTAACGCATGACTCATGTGTATCCAAATAATTTTAAATTTGAAGTAAACTAAATAAGCAGTTAAGAACATGCTTAATTGTATGTCAAATAATAAGACATAAAATAAATTTTCAAATTCATCACGCTACTTATAGGAAATAATAAAATCTATTTCAGAAACGAAACAAAATTTTGATGTCGGAAATAAAATATCGTAGAATAACTCTATAAGCACAAACTTGGAATAATTGTTTCTCAATTAGAAATTTAACTTCAACAATCAAAATATCATCGCCGTATTTCTGACAATATTATTGTTCAACATCGGTCAACAATCGGCCGTGACGCTCGATGATAGAGTGTCAGCCGCGATAATGACCGTGAAAAGTCATCGCAATTGCTGACGCAAGAAAGTACCTTGGAAGTGCCACGAATAGAAAGAACACGGCAGAAGGATAAGTATGACACAATACTCGAACTCGTTTTATTTTTCAATGTCGTACAGCCGGGAGGGAAGGTAAGATCTCATAAGGATAGGCTCTTTTAACGGCATCCTTTTCACGCCCACGATCGATTGCAGCGCAAGTTTCGAATTTACGTGCGGCGAGAACTCGCGTGTTGAAAAAGTGTGCTGCGCGACTTTCTCCGAGCAACGGTTTTTTTCGGTCCACGGTTGCATCGATGCCACGATTGGAGGTCAAGCGACTCGATTCGACTCGACTCGAGACACACTCGGGCATCGGTACAGTTATCCGCCTTTGTATCCCGCTGCAATCGAGGCGAGATCTCGCCTCGATCTCGACCGGTCGGCATCGACCGTTTGACTCCGGCGTTGCTTAGTGTCCGGCGCAGCTTTAGACTCGCGATTGAGTGATAAATCGGGTTGCTAAAGAGAAGATTGATAAGGAAGATAATCGACGTATCGCGTGCTTGCAACGCTCGAAGAGACGAGCGTTTCGACGCGAGTGACGTCACTTGGCTCCGCGGTACACGTTCCGCACTGTCCGATGAATGGGGAACGCACTTTCTCCGATACGTACACACATGCACGTTACATACCGCCACGAACTGCATTTGTGCACGCTGCAACAGCTGCACGCGTACGCGACGATGCAGTGCACACTCGCACTGTTTTGCTCGCAAACCGGCACCATATGCAATTCCGCTGCCGTTTCAGTCTCCGACTCAATGTGCGAGCGCGACTTGCGGAACGTCGGTACAAAGACACAGGTCAGGTATCGTCGCCGAACAGTTCCTTTTGTCAACGACGCGTCAACGGTACACTTTGGACGATAGATTCCTCACGAAACTTATTCCCATAATTTCTCATTTCCATCATAATTATTGATTATAAATTAAATTAATAATCACATTCAATTCCTTTTAAATCAGTATTTTAAAAAGAATATTTTTCCATGTAAATTAATTATTATTAAAGAAAAATGAAAATGTGTGCGTTTGTTGCAAAATTTTTGATAATTTATAAGCTTAAAATCATCTCAATTTTTTAAATCAGTGAGAAATGGAAGCAAGTAGATTAAGTGAATCGTTTCCAAATCGATCCACTCTAATATGTATTTTAGAAATGCACTTTTATCTTTTAACGTTCTTTTAATATTCTTCGCAAGATCAATCGTTGTGAGCTTTTACCTTTGGAATATCTCCTCGCTTATCTTCGCGTTATTCCAAGACGATCCCAATGCACGTGAAATTTACGGAGAGTTTTACATCCTTCCTTGATGACGTGCATCGCAACGGCGCGGCCGAATTTTACCTGTCGCATGCCTCGCGTAGCATTCCGCGCGCTCTCGGAGTCTGGATCTTCGCTCGGTCGTTTCTCGCAGCCCGATGGCTCACGACTAGCTTATCAAGGCGAGTTTGTTCAAACTTTTCATTTTTCACAAGTTAACACAGATGGAAAGGAGGAACTTGAGAACATTCGCAATATTTGCGACGATGACGCTTCGGCGCTGCGAAAAAAGGCATTCACAGGAACTTGAAATGAATGCAGAAGGCAGGTAACACACAAGCTTAGACTACGGACCGACTCCGACTGCTCGACGAACACTCGATTCGCTGCCAGTCGAGCCGCCAGCGACCGGTGGAAGGGAGCGCGTTGCCATCCAGACTCGGATTTTCAAAATTCTAACTAGATTTCTTCGCGAGACTAAGTATAGCTAAAAATAATTAAAACGCGAAAGAGGACAAGTTTATCTGTCAGATCACTGAACTTGGAATTAACTTTTTTCAAGGTACAAATATTTTTCTCAGCTCACTTTTCGATTTTCCGAAGATGTGCAATCTTAACGAAAAACGAACACGATTCAAAGTTGCATAAAAGATATTTTATTAAATTAACAATACTGTTATTATAAATAAATAATACGGACAGAAACTATAGCTACCATTTTTTCGTTGCAAAAAAAATTATATTTAAATAAAAAATGCAACAGAACAAATTTGACAAGATTAAAGTGTGTAATCAGAAATTATGAGAACAAGTCAGAGTAAATCATAAAAAGCATAAAAATTAAATTGCAAAAATACATTATAAAATAAATTGTGTGTGAGAATAAATTACATAAATTATAAAAAATTATAGTTCGCTGCGCGAACACTTTCTTTCCGCATTAAAAACTGAACACATTCTACTGAAACGAGAAATTAGTCGTTAATTGACAAGTTCAGCCCTGGGCCAGGTCGGCAGGCAAGGAGAAGGAAGAAGGTAAGAAAAGCAGGTACAAAACGAAGGAGAGAAAGAGATGCAAAGTCTACCACTGGATGTACGTGTGCGCGTGTGCGTACCTGCGTGCGTACGTCTGTACGTGGTCGGGCCATCGCGCCCAGATGGAAACAGGTAGGACCACTGTGATGGGACCGCTGTGAGTGAAACGCATCCTTTCTTAGGTAAAGCGCGAAATTCTGCTCGCGATTCGGTCAGCTGACTTGAATTTAATACTTTGCATTCTGCGTTTCAAAATATTATTCGGTGTTTTAAAAAGATATTCGGCAAAATCAGATCTATAGAATTGGATCTATAAGATTCAATCACAGCGTGAGATTATAACGAGTTTTAAGAGCTCATTTTTCGTATCTGCGTTGTCGAAAGATTCAGATTCGCATAATATTTCTAAACTCGTAAATTTCTCAATTTGTAATTTTTTCTGCAAATTTCTTATGACTTTATCTCATAAAACTGTTTCTACATTTGATTGCAATAACTTAATTTCTTCTACAATGCAAAAATAGTAGCAATAATTGTGCGTCCGTCCGCATTATTCACATATAATGATAGTGTTATCATAAAATCATAAAATATCTTTTACACAAATTTCGTAAACGAGTTAGAATACCAATGTAAAATTCTTCAAAGATTTTTGCCATCCAAGATAATTAAAAATTATTACTCCGATTTTAGAAGGAATGTATCTTGAAAATTTGTATCGAGAAGAGTCCCAAAGAGATCGAGAGTATCTTAAATAAAAAAGCAATGGGATTTTGTGTGTATATTGCGCGGTTATCAACCTCGTTAGCGACACATTGGCTATCGTCGTCGGGAAAAAGTTATCGGTATCAAGTAATCGTTCTTGATCTTGCCTTCGATAATGCCGCAAGATCGCGGCTGATCGCGCAACCATGCACACGCGGGAATGGCGACTGTCCTAGAAAACGAGATTCTACAGGTCGGCGCCTAGGTGTTCCAGTAGCAGCGGTTGTGCAATTGCCGCCTAACGACTTCGTCGAGACTTCGCGACTCTCCCTCGCGCACTCGCTTTTTACGGGAAACTACCTTCGGGCACAGTCAGCTAGAAGAGATATAAGCTGCGACAGCTAATCGGAAGTCCGCATTGCTGATTGGAAAATAGAAAAGAACGCAAGGCTAGCGATTTCTCAACAAGAGAAAGGAAAAACATTTAAAATTTGTTTTTGCTTAATATCATCCTCTCATCTTTGTTGTATTTAAGATAAGTAAAATTTTCGTATAATATATATAATAATTTTTCAAATTCCCAAACAGGCTTTTTCGCACTCTAGAACGAAATACCCTTTTCACACTAAATCCCCATAATTCCAGCTATCTTTATAGCGCCTTATATTGATCTATAATTCTGCTTTTTCACGTTGCGAAATGTATGGCGGTTTCCTTTCGGAACACGACAAAGTAAATCCCTCCTGATAGCACTTCATCGATTTATTAACTCGGTTACCTTAGAAACTCGCTTCGTCGGTGGATAACTGATACCTAGGTGACGCGCATGCTAACATAATACATCGGCACAATTAGTACTCACAGCTAAACGTAGATGATAAACCAAAGTATAAAATATAAAATGTCCCAAGCAAGCGATATTTAATCAAATTGGTCTGGAAACGAGTAAAAATTTTTTCCATTTTTCAGCATTTTAGTCGCAAAACCCAACAAAGTTTAAAAACTCTAAAGAATAAAATAAAATTTAATTCATAGTGAATGTTCGAGTCTTGAAAATCAATAATTCGCCTCGAATCAACGGGAATTTCTGGATGAATTCGACCGCGAAGCAATTGAGCTTGATTTACATAATTCGTTTTGATCTTTAGTTTAGCAACGCATCGAAGGCTACGCATTGACGTAAATCGTGGAACGATGATCATCAATCGCTTATAGGTATCGCTCTATTTAATCGATTTTAAATACGTTTAGATACGTCGTTCCGTCATTCCATTTAAAATCGAGCTGACACGACGACGACGTTTCGCGTCGTCGCCAATGATGTTCACTGTCGATGATATCCGGCTCGCATGCCGAAAGGAAATGTGTTGCGCCGACTGTCCCCTTTCGCGTTATCACAGCTACGTGATAACGATAACGGGCAAAGGTGAACACCTGAATTTTGCGATTGATCGCGCCCGTATGTGCGTTCCTCGAAATCGTGACAAAGAGCACTATTGATCGAGTATCTTCGGTATTAAGATCGTCCTACTTTGATAAAAAGAAAATTCTTTTACGGCGCGGTCGGCAAAAATTAGAATCTTGAACAGAAAAACTGTAAGAAAAATGTAACTTGTAAAATCATACATTATATATATGATATTTTACAAAAATAAAATAAAAAGAAATGGATACTCGTTCATATAAAAGTATTCAAAAATACAAAAATAGGAACAAAATAATGACAGATTGAAATTGAAACCAAAACAGATATAATAGAAATGTCTCAGCCGTTACTTAGATTTACTCTTCAATTTAAAAAATACATAATATTTATTAAATTTTATAATAAATAATAAATTCTATATATCGAATAATATCACGGACAATTATAAGTGATTTTGAGACGCCACGATTTTCTCCTCAAAACTTGATTGATTCGTGGAAAAAAACAGAGGCTAAGCATTACGTAGCGATGCAATGCGCAAATGTGTATTATTCTGCGATAAACGCAAGAAGAATCCCGGAAAAAACGGATATTGTGTTATTACCGTCGTTAATAAATACTTGTTATCTGCCAGCTGGCCGAGTGACCGCAAAATTCCGGTTTTACGTGAATATGAACGTCCTGTCGGATGATTACATCACTCCTTATCACAGTGTCTCATGGCTTATTCTTATCGTGTTTCGTATGCGCGATTCTTTCGCAGTAGATCTTGTAAAACAATTTGCATAAAAACACATGTAATTTCGTGTAAAAATAAAAATTTATACTCAGTTGTTCACTTTTGTAAATTTTTAGAACATTTAACACTCTTCAAAAATGTCACGAATTTAATTTGACTAAAAACTGAAATTAAATTAAATTTTGCTAAAACTTTAAAAGAGATTTACTGACAGTTACAAAGCTTATCTCATCGTTTCAACGACGTTTCGAATAATAAGAAAAATACCATTGATAAATGCAATGAAATAAATTGATCATACCAGGTTTTTTTAGCGAATAATCAAATGCCAATTTCGCAGCTGGAATGCCGCAACCCGATGAAACTTGTGAACGATATTTAATTACTTATTATCTTCATTAGTTTTTGCAGCGGATCGTAAACAAGATTTATGACAGAGTATGACAGAGGCATAAATATTCCTGATCTACAAGTAGGAATCTAGTACCGATGTCATCGAGATATTAACGCTTATAGCTCAAGATACACGATTAATATTAATAAATACTCAAACAATTTTCCTCATTATTCAAAACTATTTAAATTTCCTAAAAATTCCTAATTATTCAAATTCTTTGTGTCAATATGTTATCTTTAATATTATGTAGATATCATTAGTCTAAACAAAATTTGATTAACTTTGCATGACGAGGAAAATTTTGATTATCTAAATAAATATTCTGAATTAAATAAAACAATAAATTTGTTGAGTTAAATAAAGAACTACGTTGCAGCAGCTCGAGATACGGGTACATATGCGTTTGACGCACATCTGTTACGCATAAGGCAGGTGTGCAATGAAGATGTACAGATCGTTTTACATACAGCCAGAACATGTCAACGTCTCAATTTCTCCATTTCTCGCCTCATCAAATATATCTTACATAAATTGTTTTTGAAGAAAATAAATTTAATGCCTCTCTTTATTTAGAATAGCAAACATTATCAAACTTCTAATCAATGCGGAATAATAACAGATGAGAACCACTGACTGCTCGTTCGAACCTTCACTGCCACGTAAAACAATGCCGTGTGTGTATCGCACAGAATGACATATGGCAGCCAGTTGCAAAGAACATGAAAAACGCAAAGGGATCGATACTTGGTCGAGATAAGAGATCGGTGTGTTAAACATGGCTCGTTGTTAAACATGAACGTGACATCTACTTCCCTCAAGCGAACGTGTAAACTAAATAAAATTCGAAAGCGATGACATTTTGCGTTATGATTTATTGCACGTCTATGTAACTTTTTGATAACAAGATAAAAAAGGCATCAAGTGCACGCGTTCGTCGAAAAAGCTGTTGTACTTTTATATCTGCAAAAAAAATAATATTAAAAGCTTGAAATTATATTTGATTCAATAAAATACTTTACTCGGGATTTTAAATGCTCGAGACATTTC